GGCGGCCGAAATACCATGCTTCACGGTGAATATGTTTCCTCACTATCCTACTCGATTGATCATCGAGCGCAATAAAACCAGTCCCCGCACTATCATCATCATTACTGAAGTCAGAGGGCCTGGCCACACAAAAATATTAGTTTTCTCTTGCGATGAGGAAAAACCGACCGTGAGCCCACGAGTGCCCACACCAGGGTAAAGGTTGAGGATCGTCAGGGTTTTCTGCACTATTATCGATATCTGGTCATTCTTTTCGGTCACTAACTGATAAAAAGCCGTAGAATTCGTCTTCATTTCCACTTCCATCAGTGTCGAATATCAGATAGGAAGAGGAGAGTCCCAATTTTCCGGGGAGTGAGAGCTGACTTGCGACGAGGCATGGTGAACAAGGGTAACTGAGCCAGCGTTCCCACAATGCTATGTGGGCGCCTAGATTTTTTGTTTAAGGCACACACCCACCACGCAGACCCGTTCTCTCACATGTAGGCCTATGAGCGTTTTCACGCTAAATTTGACGGCGCTAGAATTCTGGCGTAGATCTACGGTTTGGACACTCAACGTAAAGCCGTTGATCTACGGGACGGACCCTGAAAGGGTTAAGTGACTTTATGATCGCGGTGACTTCCGTGGGCTCAGTTGGTACAAGATAGAAGGAATTTGGGAAATTCCCATCTAGGTAGTCCCCAGCACGGGCATTGGTACATGGGATTTTACTGGCAAGATTAGATCCTATGTTTGAGAAGAAGTCGTTTATCTTGTTAGCTGTATCAGTGGGATGCAGTGGTGTTTCATGAGGTTTAGTTAGAACAATATTCTTGTTTTTTTCAGTTTGTGGGTCCCCAGAATCTGGGAAAGTGTTTTCCAGGTCTTTTTTTATATCTCCTCTTGTGTCAGTAAATCTGTGGGTAGTACAGATGTTTGGCTTTCTTTATTAATCTGGTGAGAACTGTTGAATATTGTTTAAGAATATCTGTGTGTATTAAGCCCTGTCTATATTGCTTTTCATAGTGGTGTTTCTTATCAATGGATTTCAGAATGCTGCAGGTTAGCCATGGGCAACCAAGCCGTTTACTCGTGATCTGTTTCGTTTTTATAGGACAATGTTTGTTGTATAGTCTAAGTATTTTGTTAAGAAAAATGTCTGTCCAATCGTCAATACCATTGGCATTGGAGAATTCTGTAGGCCAGTCAACAGTCTCTAGGTCTGCTGTGAAATTCCTTATTGAGGCCTCGTCATGGAGTCTAAATGAAACTTTATTGTATTCGAGTAGTGGCTTATTAATGTTTGTTAAGAGGAAGGTTGGGTAGTGGTCAGTAGTGCTGTCAATGATTATTCCTGATTTAAGGCGGGCTAGTATATTGGTCCATATGTGGTCTATTATGGTTGCACTTGTCTCAGTCAGCCTGGATGGTTTAGTTATTGTTGGTATGAGGAGTGTGTTGTTCATATTGTTGATGAAATCAGATACAGTCTGATCATCTGGTAGGCCAAGGTTGATATTGAAGTCTCCAGCTAAGAGAAGGTGGTGCTTGTTCAATTGTCTGTTTGTTATTAGTGACTTTAATTTCTCACTGAAATTTGGGATGTTTGTGTGGGGTATCCGGTAAATGGCGCCGATTGTTATAGGCATCTTAAGGTTTTTTACAGTAAAATTAGCAAAAATGTATTCCCCATATTCATTACTAAAGCAATTAGTGCTAATACAAGATAGTTGGTTAGAGTAATAGATTGCAGTACCACCCCCAACTTGGTATGGTCTGCAGTTGTCGATTCCTGTGTATCCTGGTAGTGGGTAGACATCAACTGTGTCCTGCTTAAGCCAGGTCTCAGTAAGAATAATGCAGGAGAAGGGTGTCTTTAGTGACTCAAGGAGTGCCAGGAGGTCATCATAGTGTTTGCTTAGGGACCTGATGTTGTAGTTAAGAACTGATAGACTTTGAGCAGTGTTCAGGATAGTGCTGGCTTGTGATGCTGTGTAATACAGGCAGTTACTTTCCAATAAGTTTTGATTGTGTGTTAGATTATGGAGGTTTTTGATCAGGGTCAACGTGATAATTATCTTTTAGGTTTAATAGTGGTTGTTTATATCCTGTATTATGTGGCGAGTTCTAATACTGATTTCTGTAGTGGTGGGAGGTTTGGATAAGTATACCGCTAAAGCACTTTGGTCATATAGAGTACAGTCACTAATAAACATAATGAAATTGATATTGTCAATGTGTTGTGCTAGAATGAGCTAAAGTACAACTAGGTATAAACTAATACTATAAAAAAAAAATTACAAGTGGCTCCAGACTCACTCTTGTAATTGCACTAAGGTCTAATATAATGAATTTAGTGTTGTCTATGTATTGAGCTAGAATGAGCTAAAGTACAACTAGGTATAAACTTATAATATAAAAATGCAAATTAAAATGGTACTTGCAATTGCACTAGGGACTGATATAGGTTGTTAACAAGATCAAGAGTATAACTAGATTTAAATTGACAAAATAAAATTCACAAATTAAAGTACCAAAAGATAATAAGTAAAAAATAAGAATGGCAATGACTTGGTTATAATATGATAATAAGATGGTAGACAGGTACACAGGTACAAAGGATAATATAAAGGTTGGAGTTGAATATACAAACTTAAAAATTTGGCAACAAAATGTTATGAAAAGTATAAAATAATGATTAATTTACAAAAGTAAAATTACCTGGTAGTATATATGGTGTTTAGTAAAATTTTAGTAAGTAATAACGATTACAAAAAAAGATTTAGCAAAAAAAAAAAAAAAAAAAAAAAAAAAAAAAAAAAAAAAAAAAAAAGTGAAAAAGTAATGTTTATTTCAAGTATTAAATTTTAAGAACAGTTATTTGGATTCAATAGTAAATAGTAAATATATCAAGTAGTTGAGTGTTACCTGGTGTGGGAGAGGCAGTAGTGGGTGTGGGAGCGCTGCCTTCACCACTACAATTTATTTATTTATTTATTTAATAATTTGATCATACAGAGGTACAAAAAAAATACATTTAAGAGCAGCATGCCAAAGCCACTTGTATGCATAGCATTACGGGCTGGCTTAAAATTAACTTAAGATTAACTAAGCAATGATGTAATCAGTGATAAAACATTATTGTAAACAGATAACAATAAAGCACAAATGAGTATTACAAAGACAGGTCATATGGTTGCATGCATTGCTGTACATTCAGTAGAATGGAGTATTCTGTTAGGTAGTGTATTTAAAAAATAACGAAGTTAGATTGGGTCTTAGGTTTAACATTTATGTGATATAATTGTGAGAAACATTTAAGATATACAATTTATAAAATTCAATTATTCAGTATTTATTTGGTTTTGGGTAAGTGATCTTTGAGAAGAGACTTGAAGTTATAAACAGGAAGTGTTTCTTTTAAATTTACAGGTAATGAATTCCAGATTTTAGGGCCTTTTATGTGCATTGAGTTTTTGCATAGCGTGAGATGGACACGAGGAACATCAAAGAGTGATCTGTGCCTTGTGTTATGGTCATGTGTTCTGTTGAGGTTGGTAAGGAGATGTTTGAGGGGAGGGTTAATATCAGAGTTAAGTGTTCTATGTATGTAATAGGTGCAGTAATAAGTATGGATGTTTTGTATGGTGAATAGGTTGAGTGTTTTGAATATTGGTGGAGTGTGCTGCCTGTAGTGGGAATTTGTTATTGTGACTGCAGCCTTTTGTTGGGTAATTAATGGTCTGAGATGATTTATTGTTGTTGAACCCCATGCACAAATTCCTAAGGTGAGATAGGGATAAATAAGTGAGAGTAGTTGAGTGTTACCTGGTGTGGGAGAGGCAGTAGTGGGTGTGGGAGTGCTACCTTCACCACTACAATAGTAAATATATCAAGTAGTTGAGTGTTACCTGGTGTGGGAGAGGCAGTAGTGGGTGCGGGAGTGCTACCTTCACCACTACAATAGTAAATATATCAAGTAGTTGAGTGTTACCTGGTGTGGGAGAGGCAGTAGTGGGAGTGCTACCTTCACCACTACAATAGTAAATATATCAAGTAGTTGAGTGTTACCTGGTGTGGGAGAGGCAGTAAGTGGGTGCGGGAGTGCTACCTTCACCACTACAATAGTAAATATATCAAGTAGTTGAGTGTTACCTGGTGTGGGAGAGGCAGTAGTGGGTGTGGGAGTGCTACCTTCACCACTACAATAGTAAATATATCAAGTAGTTGAGTGTTACCTGGTGTGGGAGAGGCAGTAGTAGGGTGTGGGAGTGCTACCTTCACCACTACAATAGTAAATATATCAAGTAGTTGAGTGTTACCTGGTGTGGGAGAGGCAGTAGTGGGTGCGGGAGTGCTACCTTCACCACTACAATAGTAAATATATCAAGTAGTTGAGTGTTACCTGGTGTGGGAGAGGCAGTAGTGGGGTGCGGGATGTGCTACCTTCACCACTACAATAGTAAATATATCAAGTAGTTGAGTGTTACCTGGTGTGGGAGAGGCAGTAGTGGGTGTGGGAGTGCTACCTTCACCACTACAATAGTAAATATATCAAGTAGTTGAGTGTTACCTGGTGTGGGAGAGGCAGTAGTGGGTGCCGGAGTGCTACCTTCACCACTACAATAGTAAAATATATCAAGTAGTTGAGTGTTACCTGGTGTGGGAGAGGCAGTAGTGGGTGCGGGAGTGCTACCTTCACCACTACAATAGTAAATATATCAAGTAGTTGAGTGTTACCTGGTGTGGGAGAGGCAGTAGTGTGGGTGCGGGAGTGCTACCTTCACCACTACAATAGTAAATATATCAAGTAGTTGAGTGTTACTGGTGTGGGAGAGGCAGTAGTGTGGTGTGGAGTGCTACCTTCACCACTACAATAGTAAATATATCAAGTAGTTGAGTGTTACCTGGTGTGGGAGAGGCAGTAGTGGGTGCGGGAGTGCTACCTTCACCACTACAATAGTAAATATATCAAGTAGTTGAGTGTTACTGGTGTGGGAGTGCTACCTTCACCACTACAATAGTAAATATATCAAGTAGTTGAGTGTTACCTGGTGTGGGAGAGGCAGTAGTGGGTGCGGGAGTGCTACCTTCACCACTACAATAGTAAATATATCAAGTAGTTGAGTGTTACCTGGTGTGGGAGAGGCAGTAGTGGGTGCGGGAGTGCTACCTTCACCACTACAATAGTAAATATATCAAGTAGTTGAGTGTTACCTGGTGTGGGAGAGGCAGTAGTGGGTGTGGGGAGTGCTACCTTCACCACTACAATAGTAAATATATCAAGTAGTTGAGTGTTACCTGGTGTGGGAGAGGCAGTAGTGGGTGTGGGAGTGCTACCTTCACCACTACAATAGTAAATATATCAAGTAGTTGAGTGTTACCTGGTGTGGGAGAGCAGTAGTGGGTGTGGGAGTGCTACCTTCACCACTACAATAGTAAATATATCAAGTAGTTGAGTGTACCTGGTGTGGGAGAGGCAGTAGTGGGTGTGGGAGTGCTACCTTCACCACTACAATAGTAAATATATCAAGTAGTTGAGTGTTACCTGGTGTGGGAGTGCTACCTTCACCACTACAATAGTAAATATATCAAGTAGTTGAGTGTTACCTGGTGTGGGAGAGGCAGTAGTGGGTGTGGGAGTGCTACCTTCACCACTACAATAGTAAATATATCAAGTAGTTGAGTGGTACCTGGTGTGGGAGAGGCAGTAGTGGGTGCGGGAGTGCTACCTTCACCACTACAATAGTAAATATATCAAGTAGTTGAGTGTTACCTGGTGTGGGAGAGGCAGTAGTGGGTGCGGGAGTGCTACCTTCACCACTACAATAGTAAATATATCAAGTAGTTGAGTGTTACCTGGTGTGGGAGAGGCAGTAGTGGGTGTGGGAGTGCTACCTTCACCACTACAATAGTAAATATACAAGTAGTTGAGTGTTACCTGGTGTGGGAGAGGCAGTAGTAGGGTGTGGGAGTGCTACCTTCACCACTACAATAGTAAATATATCAAGTAGTTGAGTGTTACTGGTGTGGGAGAGGCAGAGTGTGGGTGTGGGAGTGCTACCTTCACCACTACAATAGTAAATATATCAAGTAGTTGAGTGTTACCTGGTGTGGGAGAGGCAGTAGTGGGTGTGGGAGTGCTACCTTCACCACTACAATAGTAAATATATCAAGTAGTTGAGTGTTACCTGGTGTGGGAGAGGCAGTAGTGGGTGTGGGAGTGCTACCTTCACCACTACAATAGTAAATATATCAAGTAGTTGAGTGGTACTGGTGTGGGAGAGGCAGTAGTGGGTGTGGGAGTGCTACCTTCACCACTACAATAGTAAATATATCAAGTAGTTGAGTGGTACCTGGTGTGGGAGAGCAGTAGTGGGTGCGGGAGTGCTACCTTCACCACTACAATAGTAAATATATCAAGTAGTTGAGTGTTACCTGGTGTGGGAGAGGCAGTAGTGGGTGCGGGAGTGCTACCTTACACCACTACAATAGTAATATATCAAGTAGTTGAGTGTTACCTGGTGTGGGAGAGGCAGTAGTGGGTGTGGGAGTGCTACCTTCACCACTACAATAGTAAATATATCAAGTAGTTGAGTGTTACCTGGTGTGGGAGAGGCAGTAGTGGGTGTGGGAGTGCTACCTTCACCACTACAATAGTAAATATATCAAGTAGTTGAGTGTTACCTGGTGTGGGAGAGGCAAGTAGTGGGTGTGGGAGTGCTACCTTCACCACTACAATAGTAAATATATCAAGTAGTTGAGTGTTACCTTGGTGTGGGAGAGAGCAGATAGTGGGTGTGGGAGTGCTACCTTCACCACTACAATAGTAAATAATCAAGTAGTTGAGTGTTACCTGGTGTGGGAGAGGCAGTAGTGGGTGCGGGAGTGCTACCTTCACCACTACAATAGTAAATATATCAAGTAGTTGAGTGTTACCTGGTGTGGGAGAGGCAGTAGTGGGTGCGGGAGTGCTACCTTCACCACTACAATAGTAAATATATCAAGTAGTTGAGTGTTACCTGGTGTGGGAGAGGCAGTAGTGGGTGCGGGAGTGCTACCTTCACCACTACAATAGTAAATATATCAAGTAGTTGAGTGTTACCTGGTGTGGGAGAGGCAGTAGTGGGTGTGGGAGTGCTACCTTCACCACTACAATAGTAAATATATCAAGTAGTTGAGTGCTCCGCCAGGGGACACCACCTTCACCACCTACTGATGGTTCTTTATCCCTTAACTCAACCCTAAACCCACCTTAATATTACCCATCACCCTCCCTACCCCTCCCTAAACACCCCCCCTCACTGGGAACCAAAGAACTATTGTGATAGACGCAGAAAGGAAGATAGAATAATAGATTGAAAAGTGAGGAGCAGTGGAGGGTCAGGTTGAGTGATATCTTGTCTACACCGGCTATCATCACTATAATGTTGAGGGTATCTACCCGTCTGGGGCACCGTGCCACTGCCCAGGTCAGTCCCAACTACCGTGCCATACCCAGGCTACCCATATACACACGCAACACCCTAAAGTACCCTGATTTAGGCTGGTAATGAGGTGATTTGTGGTGAGGTTGTGAGTGCTGGGGTGAGCCTCATCAGCTGATGACAATAACAATCACCAAATGTGATGATTTATTCTCATTTATCATCACAACTACACAATTCTCATCACTGTTACTACACCACAACAACCACAACACTATCATCACAACTTCCACACTAAAAATATTGTCATTTATAACGTTTGTCAACTAATTCATTACGCATATCACATACACTCATCACAACAATTATAACATCCATCATCACAACAATTATAACATCCATCATCACAACAATTATAACATCCATCATCACAACAATTATAACATCCATCATCACAACAGTTATTATAACATCCATCATCACAACAGTTATTATAACATCCATCATCACAACAGTTATTACAACACCCATCACAACAGTTATTATAGCATCCATCATCACAACAATTATAACATCCATCATCACAACAATTACTACATCCATCATCACAACACAGTTATTATAACATCCATCATCACAACACAGTTATTATAAAACCCATCATCACAACACAGTTATTATAACACCCATCATCACAACACAGTTATTATAACACCCATCATCACAACACAGTTATTATAACACCCATCATCACAACAGTTATTATAACATCCATCATCACAACAGTTATTATAACACCCATCATCACAAGTTATTATAACACCCATCATCATAACAGTTATTATAACACCCATCATCACAACACAGTTATTATAACACCCATCATCACAACACAGTTATTATAACACCCATCATCACAACACAGTTATTATAACATCCATCATCACAACACAGTTATTATAACATCCATCATCACAACAGTTATTATAACACCCATCATCACAACAGTTATAACACCCATCATCACAACAGTTATTATAACACCCATCATCACAACAGTTATTATAACACCCATCATCACAACAGTTATTATAACACCCATCATCACAACAGTTATTATAACACCCATCATCACAACAGTTATTATAACACCCATCATCACAACACAGTTATTATAACATCCATCATCACAACAGTTATTATAACATCCATCATCACAACAGTTATTATAACACCCATCATCACAACAGTTATTATAACACCCATCAACACAACAGTTATTTAACACCCATCATCACAACACAATTATAACATCCATCATCACAACAATTATAACATCCATCATCACAGCACAGTTATTATAACATCCATCATCACAACACAGTTATTATAACACCCATCATCACAACAGTTATTATAACATCCATCATCACAACAGTTATTATAACACCATCATCACAACAGTATTTAACACCCATCATCACAACACAATTATATAACATCCACCATCACAACCAATTATA